TCAACCCCATAGAAAATCTGTGGCGGGAGTTGAAAGTCCGTGTTGCTCGGCGACAGCCCCAAAACATCACTGCTCTCGAGAAGATCTGCATGGAGGAATGGGCCAAAATACCAGCTACTGTGTGTGCAAACCTGGTAAAGACCTATAGTAAACGTTTGACCTCTGTTATTGCCAACAAAGGTTATGTTACAAAGTATTGAGTTGTATTTTTCTTATTGACCAAATACTTATTTTCCACCCTGATTTACGAATAAATTCTTTACAAATCCTACCATGTGGATTCATGGATTTTTTTTTCACATTCTGTCTCTCACAGTTGAAGTGTACCTCTGGTGCAAATTACTGACCTCTGTCATCATTTTAGGTGGGGGAACTTGCACAATCGGTGGCTGACTAAATACTTTTTTGCCCCATTGTACACAAGTCACTAAATGGTTTCTAGGTCTCTATGAAGCCTAAGGTGGACAAGTTGTCTCAGTAACCAAATCAAAATGCGTCCTTGCAGGATAACAAAGCCACTGGATCCTCTGACAGGAGGTGTCAAAGATGTGGGATTTTTATAATTGGCTATTGGCTATTATGTCAATATCACCTTGAAGAAGAAAAACATTTCTTATGATATTTATCAAGCACTGAAAGAAAGATTAAAGTGACCATTAAGGATCGATTATAATGTGGCTCCTCAAGACATGTCTGGATTAATTAACCACCAAGGAGTATGTTGGTGCTTAATGAACCTAGAGGGGCCTTGGTGTCTCATATTTAACTAACTTATTTACCTGTGTCCCATGGCAAAGCATGGTCACACTGAGACAAATTTGGGTGTGTGTATGTGTGTGTGTGTTTGATGTGTAATATTCTCACTTCTAAAAGCCCATTTTTCCTTTTATCTGCAAGCTGTTCTGTGCATTACGCACACTAGTTGTGTGGCTGTGCATTTACTTTTTCTGTATTTACCACAGCTATCTTCAACATCTAAGGCTTGACTATTGACTACAAAACAGAAGGTTCTTAAAAAAACCAAAACAAATAAAACCAAAGGCTATCCTTGAAAGCATAGTGAGGTTTTCCAGGATTTTCTTTCACTCAAAGTGTTTTTGTAAATGCTCTTCAACAGACTGTCAATTTTAGAAGACCGTGAATGCACCACACACACATCACCAGCAAGAGGGGAGCAGTCCTTCTCGTTAAGCTCAACGTACTGAATCTCCCCTAATTTTGGACAAAGAGCTCAGCCAAGTGTGGTGAAAAATAAAGCCCTGTTTTCACAGCATGTGTATTCTGTTTTTTGAACCACACTTCAATTAATGATCATCTGTTTCACTGTTTTTGAAAAAAAAAAAAAAAGTAATGGCCTTCATACAGTATACATAACCTGGAAATTAATGGGGTCACTTTTCAGTTTCAGAACTGGATTTGAAATCATTTCACTGTATCTGAGTGTTTCACCTCAATAAATAAATCATTAGGTGAATGAATCAATTATAATCTCAGAAAAGACATTCTAGCGTTCGAGATGAATCGTACAAGCCTGTCTGAATGACTCCTGCACCACAACGTGAGCAGCCATATCAGAAGCACTTTGTGAATGAAATGGAGCAATCCCAAAGGCAGTTGTGACTGTAAGCCATTTTGTGCTATTTGTGGGTGTCATAATGACAAGCGGTCTCTTCACTGAATTGTTGTAATTTTTCACACCAACCACGATTGTTTCTGGTGGAGATTTGGTTTAACGGATTCGACATTAAATACATTTTAAAGTGCCAGTGAGAGTAGCGCAGGCTATTGTTAGCGTATTCTTCTGACTCTCTAAGGTTCTGTGAGATCCTTTATTCACCACATTGAGTCAGCAGAGAGAGCAGGAATAGCCTATTGCGCTATTGGTTAAGGAATTCTCAGATTTGACAGCGTGAATCAAATGATTCTGTCAGACAGATGGGATGATTCATATTAGCTAAAGGAATCCAAAAGGCTATGTATAATGCAGAAAAAGCACTTCCTTTTAAACAGATCCCCTTCCATCCTCTGACCTCATAAAATAAGCTACAGTACTTTTTAGTTTTGGGGTTTTTTTTCTCCAGCGCATTCTTGTCAGTTCAGACTTCTTTGAGCTGCTTAGCAATCGCTTTTGTTCGAGTCTTTCTTTACATGTGTTCATGTGCAAATGGGACAAAGACAGCAAAAATGGTGACAAGATGTCTGGTAATAATATATCCATGGAATCTATTGAAAAAAAAAAAGAATTGCAATTTTTATTTGTATTCATGTACAGTATGAACTACAATCTCATGTATCAATAATTGAACATCATCCTCAGGGAAATTAGTTGGACTCCTTACAAGCACAGTCTCTTGTTATTTTTTTCTTTTTTGTTTTTTCTTTTTTGTCATTTTTTTTAAACAATCGAAGCACATGTAAAATTATGATCTGATTTTTTTTTCTTTTTTGCAATGTGTTTTTGAAAATATTTTTTTTCCTTTTGTAGAAATTTAACCGTGTGATGAATACTCTCTCTGAAAATGAGAGAGAATGTCCCCAACATATAAGTATCCCTCCCCATACATGGACAGTTGGCAGAATAACACACAAGAATTGGAATCACCTTGGCTAAGGATTTTGCACAAAAATCAAGCTCACTCTGCTGGTATTTCAAGTCCAACATTCTGCATTCAGTCCTAAATCCATTCTGGCTTTCAAGGATCTTCAATCTTACACTGTCCAACTAAAGTAAATACCAATACAGAGACATTCCATTCATTCTGAATAACTCACAACCCTCGACCCAAGTATATATATAAAAAAAAATCTGAACCTTGTTTTTTTCACTGTAGCCAGCGTCAACATTGAATCATTAAGCCACCAAAAGCGTTGAAAAGGAATTGAGCACTGAAAAAAAATGAAACAGTGGAAAGGGAAAGAATGGTTCACTCACTGGCATTACCAATCAATAAATTCCAACCCTGACGGGGAACAAGTTACTGATTCTCTCTCATAACCAAGTCTTTAAATGCATATTTTCCGTCATGTTTGTTATTCGCCATCTAACTGCTATTGTAGAAAACAAAAGAATTCATTTAGAGAGAGCGAGAGCGGGAGAGGTTTCTGAATATTCAGCACTCCGTTCCCCTCATACTTCTAGCAGACCTCACAGAGATGAAAGCTAAAAAGGCAAGCGGAACTGCCTGGACAGCTATATTGTCAACTGTTTTTTTTTTTTTTTTTGGTTACATCATGTGACGATTTACACTAAATAACTCAAACGCAGAGACATCATGTGTGGGTCATATCCCGTCCAGAGCCATCTGTAAATATAAGACTACGTTTCATTTTGCCAGTTTTGTCGATGATTAGATGTATTTGTGAAGTGGCCAGTGGGACACATTAAAATATGCTTGTTGCACAGACACCAAAGCGAAAGGCATATCTACCTCCTCTTACTTTCTGTACAAGGTCACTGTTTCCATGGCGACAGGCTGATGGCTAGTTTTTCCTCCTTATTTCTTATCTATTTTTTCACTCCTCTCTCTTCATATCTGCAATATCTCTGTTTGAAGACCCCTCGTGACCATTATAGGTCTGACTCCCTCTACCCAACTGCTGTTCTTCACTTTTCAATTCTACCTTCCCCTTTCCTTAAGCCTTCTCCGTTGAAAGACTAAATGAAAAAACGGAGCGTAAACAGACTACAGGAGAGACAATGTTTTGATGGTCTATAAATGATGCATCATCAAAGAGAGTGTGTGTGTTTGTTTTCCTCGAAGAAAAAAAGCCGAGTGGGGGTTGCTTCAATATCAAAGGCCTCTACCCCCTGTTAGATGTTGGGTAAAGGGAAAGTGAAAAAGTCTCGTGCTGTTTCCTTATCAGCTTTCCTCTGTTAGCCTGCAAATGAACTGCTGATACAGATTAATGAGCTATAACCCATCTTCCCTTATTTTGTTGCAGGTTCCTAGCTGCTTCACTGACTATGTTAGCTCCGTCTGCTTTAGTCTGACAGGGTCACACTACATTACAAAGCAGCCTCATTTGCCTCTTTATCTGTTCTAACAGATGGACTATCAGCGCCTGAGCTTGTGTGACCCTGGGGTGATGGCAAGGTAATGCGACACTGAGTGGACGTAGATCATTACTGGGTTAACAGGGAGGCTACAGACCACAGCCTTATGCTTCCCGTCATTTTCCTAAGCAATATTCTGCCATCGTGCGGCACATGCCGGTAGATAAAGCGAGACAAATGAGACATGGCGAGGGGTGAGGAACGTGCCCGAGCTACGCGACAGCAAGACAAAGAAGCAAGAGGACATGGAGGAGAAGAAAGTGAGGAGAAAGAAGACAGAGGGTAAAACGGCAACATGGAGAATTCATGGGGGTATGAAGAGGGAGGGGGAGGTGAAGGCGGAAAAAAAAGACAGTCAAGGTAAAGCGTCAAGAGTGTAAAGAAAAAGTAGGAGGAGGAGTGGGAGCAAGACCTTAATCTTAATTAAAGTGAAGGATATATGGCTGTTGTTTAGAAGCCACAGGGGAAATGCACATTTACTCATTTGGCAGCTTTGCTCCTCAGGCACGCTGGCTTCGCTGTGATATCATCCAGAGCCGTGCCATTAAAAGATCTAATTTTGTGTTGAGTGACAGCTAGAATAGCATGGCGAGGAAAAGAAAAAGTCATTTTATGTTTTCACGTTTCATAAACTTCCTTCAAATTGGAACTGGTGTGCTGCACTACTAAATAAATGCTTGTAAATACTTGGGCATTGTCCTTCAATAAACCGTGTTATCAGATAAAATGTAAGTAGTGAATGAAGAGCATTGCATTAGAGTTTAAGGCCAATGGAAATAGTGAATGCTGCATTTGATACCTTTCAATTTCCGTTTTAGCAAACCATTCTTTCCCTTGTGCGGTATTACACAGAGAGATAGAGAGAGAGAGAGAAATAAAGTGAGCTAAAAAGCTATCACAAATTGTTTTTCTTCATTTAGCCACTAGACATATTTTTAATAAATAATCTTTGTTTTTGTAAAGACACTTTTTAAAGTTTCATATGTCGTCCCTTTGCCAAATGCTGACTAATCGCCATAATTGACATCAACTCTGTGAAGTCAATGGCATTCAATTTCTTTTATCTTTGCGTTTTGGTCCATTGTACTCCAAGTGTGTAACGGCTGATGCTGGACATTTAGTCAAATTTAAAATCAGATTTGGGTCTCTTGTACATTGTCTTTTGAGCAAGCTTGAATCAGTAAAGGTTCCTGTGTGGCTGAGCTGTGTATGGTACTGAGCATAGGAGGATGGTGATAAGAGCTCTTGTAGGTGTTGTAGTGGTTGTAGTGCTCCAGAGGGGGCAGCGATAGGTGTCTCTCCATGGCAGCAACACCTGCCAGCTCTTCTTCAACGGTAATGACCTCCATGGAGGAGGCAGGGCCATCGGGATCCTGCTGGTTGTGTTGCTTCCTCATCTTGTAGAAAATAACCAGCAGAACAGCAGCCATGAGTGTGATGGCCACGAAGCAGCCAATGATAATCTTAGTGGTTTTCATCACCTCATCCAGGGATCCCTCTCCCTCCGGATCAAGAACTGGAATGGTGTAAGTCCGCTCTGTGGTCCTTGTGGAAACAGGAGTACCTTTTGTTGTTGAGGAAGACACCCAGCCAAATGGGGGAAGTGGTGTTTGGCTATCCTCCCCCATCATGTCAGTGGTCTCAACTGTGACTGTGGTAAAATAGGTCACCCCACTGCTGTCCAAAGAAGTGACATTAAGCACAGCGGAGGCAGAAATGTTGCCTGCTGTGTTGCTAACCATACAGGTGTAAGTCCCAGTGTCCTGCATTGTGACGCTAGTAAAGTTCAGCGTCCCATCATTGAGGACAGACAAACGCACTTTGTAGGCCCCGTGAGTCACCAGTGAGCCGTTTGGTGTGAGCCAGCTGATGGAGGTCACCGAGCTTGTACGACATTTAAGCTCTGCACCCATGCCTTCGGTCACATTCAAGTCACTGGGTGGCTCCACAATAACAGGGACATCACACTGAAAGTAGCTGTGGTCCAGTTCTCCAATGTAGCGACCTTTCAACGCTGAGGGAGTATGGCAACGTGCACAGCAGCTGGTATTGGCTGGTACAGTTTCCTTCAGCCACCAGCTGAGCCACAGAATATCACAGTTGCAATTCCAAGGATTGTGATGGAGGTGGACCCGCTCTAAGCGATGTAACGGTGTGAAGAGGTCATGGGGTAGAAATGTAAGATTGTTATGAGCCAGGTTGAGCTCTACCAGTGACTGAAGATCGTCAAAGGAATTCCTCTCAATAGTTTGAATCTGGGCATGCATCATCCACAGCTTCTGGAGGTTCACTAGCCCTGTAAATGAACTGGGCTTTATAACAGAAAGCTGGTTACCTGACATTTCTAGCTCTTCAAGCCTTACCAAAGGTAAGATATTGGGGATCTCTTTGAGATTGCACATTCCCAGGTTCAGGTAGCGGAGATTGCTCAGGTCCTTGAAAGCCCCGTCAGAAATATAGGAGAGACGTTTGAGCTCACCTAGATCCAGCCTTCGAAGCGAGGGGACCCGGTTGAAGGCATAAGATGGTATACTTTCGATGGGGTTGTTTCTTAGCCACAATTCTTTCAGCTTGGACAAGTACTCGAATGCTCCATTGGGGATTGTCGTGAGCCGATTATCAAAGAGCTCCAAGGTGTTGAGGCTGGCCAGCCCATTGAAGGCGCCAATTTCAATGCTGCGGATGTGGTTCTTGCTCAGTTGTAGGATCTCCAGATGGCGCAGATGTTTAAAACTGTCCACCTTGATTACCTGAATGAGGTTATCCTGGAGGTTCAGGTAGCGAGTGTTGGTAGAAATGCCATCTGGAACATCCCTTAGACTGCGGCGCGTGCATATGACTTTGCTGAACTGGTTACTGCATGAGCAGACGGAAGGACAGGTCTGAGCACGAACCAGCCCAGCCACCACCAGGATCTGAAGGGCCAAAAGCAGCACAAAGAGGGGGTTGGATAGTGCCCCCTTCAGCCTACGACCTCTCATTGTCTGGCGCTGGAGGGAAGAGATCATTGTGTTCAGCATTCATAGTTCATCCGCTGTTTGTGTTCTCTGTAACGAGAAGAAGCAAAAAAGAATAACATTAAGTACCAGGAAAAGTAGCCGGCAATACATTGCACATGTTGTTATCATGTATGAAGGCAAACCCAATATCTTTGTATATTTAGACTGTTTGGTCACATGAAATAAATGGCACAAAGGTGGAACTTCAAGCTCTGAGAAATTGTAATAGGCATTTGTTTTTCATTCTTTTTTGGCATTTGGACTGAATTGTTGAATAAATTTATACAGTACATTGTGCAGAGAATAATGAAACAACAAGATCAAGAATTCAAAGCCTAAATTAATTGTCAGTATTACTCATTTGTGTATTGAAACACAAGTATTTTTTTAGCTCCTTAACTCTGGACTGTCCCAGATTTTCAAGCTTCACAGAAGCCGACACATCTACACAGGAGACTGAAAATGGAAAATGAGAACTTAGTATCTGCATCCCATCAGAGCCCGACCTGCAAATTTCTTGTAAGCCCCCTTCTCATTGGCATCATAAGACAGAAATTATTTAATAGAATAAAAAGCCTTAGTCATAAAAATTTCAAAAGAAGTGCAATCCACTGGAGTCATTTTTTTTTTCAGTGGAAGACAAGTCAGTAACACCAAGGCATTATGCTCAGTGAATATGGCACGGCACTGTCAAACACACTATATGAACGACAGTTAAAATTACTTTCTGTCCAAAATACTACTAAAAAAAGGTATGTAAAAAAAATCAATTTCTTCTTGGTTAAAAATGTGCTATAGGTTATATGATACGCAGCAGGTTTCATTTAATTTAATTTTGTTTTTACTCCAAAGCTTGAAAATGATCTTTAAGTAAGGCTTTAAAAAAGTGTTACACAATTACTACTTTTTCCTCATTTAAAGCAGCGTTCCAGCCCTGTTTACATTTTATTATGATCCAATGTATGGCTCAAGAGTGTGAAGAGGTCTTATACTGTCATTAAATAACTATAGCAAAATTTCTTACATCCAAAATCAAATGACTAACAAGAAACTCGTTACTCTGCTATCTTTGATTAGATTAAATTGGATTATATTAATCCAGTCACCCAACAGATCTACTTTAAGAATATGCCTGAGCATGCTGAAGATAAAAATAGACCACAAGATTCATACACATACAGCACAGCACAGCCTGTACCTCCCACTTTTACACTGCAGTGTGGATATGATGTTATTGCAACTCTGCCCCCCAAAGATGGTACCCTACAATAAAGTCGTACATGCAGTATAACAAACCTACCCGACATGTGGAGAAAGTATAGGTTTGGCAACATTGTGTCAACCTCTGCTGTTAAGTGATACACACGTCATCCTTCACTGCACTTAATGGGTTCACCAACAGCAAAGCACTCTTGACTTTTGCAAAAAACATTAACCTTGCCTACTGGTTCCTTAGATTTAAGTATTCTCCTTGTCTCTTCCTGGCTCTTCCAAGTGAAGTTATCTGTTAATCATCTCTTTCCATCAACCCACGAGCAAGGAGAAACAAGTATATTATGACAGGTGTTTTCTAAACTGTAAAAAATTGTTAACTGAGGCGGAAATGTTCTCCGGTGAGGATGAGTGGCTGACTTAATCAGTAGCAATGAGTCTACATGTGGCTTGGTTTTGCACCAGCCAGTCTGTCATGATAGCTGTGATGTAGTGAGGCTGTGGAGAGACGTGCCTCTGCTGGGGAATCAGATCGAATAAGGCCTCCCACTGGCAGGAGCTCATTTTGTTCGGCTGGAATTACAACAACCCTGCACTGCCACCTAAGAGAAGAAAATGTCAGACATGGCAAACACACTAATACTGATTATTTGCTGTCAATAAAACATCACAGTTTGCACTTCCACTTGAATGCTTAAAGAAAAGAGCATGTCATTGCCACTCCTGGAGCGATTGTACTTTTCGGTCACATGCCTTATTCATAAAGCACTTGATCTAAAACCAGTTTTATCAGCACAGGATGTCTCATTCCATGAAGAGATGGGACATATATTGCATAAGGAAAGGAAAACGCTACCAACATCCTTCCTGCCTTTGTTGCTGCAACACTGCATGGATTAATTTCATCTAGGCTCGCTCAACATGTATTCAGACTCACTAAAAGCAGTGGCTGCTTACATCTAAAATCCTGCCAGCAACATAAAAACACACCCACCCTTACTTCTGCACCAGCCGCCACTGGCATTGTGTGTGACACCACAGTGATTTGCCAAATGCATTTGTTATAATGAGTTTGTTGGAAAAGTGCTAGGGTAACATATGTCTCAATCAAGGTGTACACAGCAAGGAGAGCATTTAAATTACAATGTCAGATGATTAGAGTCTGTCAGTGTTGCACACTTGAAACAACAACATTTTACTCTGACTAGGAAAATGTGTTATAGCGGACATTTCCACACGCTGGGGAAGCAAGCTTGGCACAGATGTCTAGACACTGAATGCTTTCCAGTCAAGAAATTTAGTACTACTTGGAAAAAATAATCTCTTTTGTAGTCTAAATTAGTGAATATGAGAATAAATATGTTAAAAGTTCTCAGCACAAATCAAACTGACGGGAATCTTTGAGGATGAAATGCAACAAGAAACGTTTCATTACGGATCATTTGCATTTGTTGGCAGCTGTTCCCCTCTGAGTTGTAAGGGGGAACTTTGAATTGTGTTGTGCACATTTGCATTTCCACTTTTCCACCAAAAAAATTAAAAAATAAAAGCTCACATTCATTAAGCGCTGTGTCGATCTCATGTTTGTCTTAGGGTTATCACACTGATTTCCCACAGCTGATTTCACTTTGTGTGTTATTTACACTTTCAGTTTTTCTTTATTAAATGTAATGGTACAATAACTAAAGCCAGCTGAAAGGACAATAAAAAAAACTGTCTTCTATATTATTGCATTATTAACTTACTGCATTAGGGAAGAGTGAGTCAAACCAAAAACGAAGTCACATTGTTCATTAGACAATTACTAATCAGCCATTTGCAGTTGATCTGGTCTATATGAAATTGATAGAGTGGATAAAATATGGAGTGATATGAAATGTGGCAAGTATCTCATTGTGCTGGATAAAAGACGCCGCTGTCTGATGAACTGAATATCATCTTCTTAATTCATTCAATGCATTAGTGATTCATTGTATTTGCATACGTTTGTTGCATCTCTTGCTTTTAACATCGTTTGTGCTGCTGTGTAACCTCACAGGCCATCTGGGTCTTGGAAGACCTGAGCATAGACAATGTGCCTTAGACATGGACAAAACAAACAGTGTTTGAAAGTCTCAAACAGTTTGAAAGTGCCATATTATTAAAGTGTTACATTAGCATATGCTTTGTATACAACAACCTGCACCCCATAAGCAACATAACACACATCAGTATGCTAAACAAGGATGATATGGATTTAGAAATTTTGAACTTGAACTTGAAATTTACATTTTCATAAATATCTTCCACACATTCCAAGGACGAGTAATGATATATCTGTAAAATTTTACTGTTTAAAGTTTTCACCATTTGCACATACAGAAACATTTCTTTGATTTGCAAACCTTACTCAAACAGTGATCAAGAGTGGACTGTTAAAACTACAATGACAATACCTACTGTGACTGTTTTCTCTACATGTATATGAATTATTTGCAGACTTGTAATCTGTTATGATTTATGTTCTTTCTGCAAATTATCTAATAAATTAAACATGTCAAATTTTCTTCAGTAGTCATCCAAAATATTTTGAGTGACAACTGATTAATGAATACTTTGATCATTTAAAACAATACTAACATCTAAAACAAGCTGACCACAGAACATTTGGGTCTGGACAATGTTCTTTATTTTCTAACATGTCATAAATAAAACTGTGAACTGAAAAAAGTGATATTTAGCTTAAATAATAATTAAAACAATGACCCATTTGATAAATGACTGGAATACAGTGTGAAATATGTGCTAATATCCAGTGAGGCATCCAGTGTTGTGCCTGAAGTGTTCTTATGCTGATCAGACATAAACATTAGTAGCCTATACGTATATGTAAACATCCTGAAAATAATTACTTGTTATGTTGAGTTAGTAATTAGATTTTTGCAAGCGTGACTGTGTTTGTGCCACTACATATTGTCAGTAGGAAGACTACTAGACTTTTAAATCCAACATAATAAAACATTTCTCTCTTTGCTGCAGTGCGTGTGCACGCTGGCATGCATTTTTTGTCCCAGAGGGTATAAGGAGGGGAGGAGGGGGGGCAGCTTTAAAATCTGGCACTGAAGGCCATCATAACCAGCGGCCATCACTGACATGCAGACTGGAAGTGCTTCACTCTCCAGTTTTCGCTTAACCTGAAAGAAAGGCAATTCGCCTTCCTCCATTTTGGCCTCGGTGCTCTCAGTGCTGGTGTTAGGGAAATAAATCTACACGTGCTGCCGGGTGCTGCTGACTTATCAGTCATATGCTGTTCTTACAAGAGGAACGGAAATGACGGCTGGTTGTGTCTCAGCACTGAAAGAGAAATGTTTTCTTGAACATTTTTCACTCTATTGGTTTGATCCAATATGTTTTTTGGTATAATTTCTAGCTTGCTTGATGTAGCGATTTTTAAACCTTGTATCTAGGATATGGCCTTGCTGAAGATGTTGCATGTATTGCTTAGCACCACATCTGTCACCCACCACCCTGGCTGGGTCAGTTGTTGACCAAGCAGCTCTTTGCTCTGACTTCCAATCCACTCCTCCCAATACAGTGAAGTCAGAGTCATGAAAACAGAAAGAGCACATTTTGATGTTGATTATTTCTTTACACCCTTTATTCTGGATTACCTTCAAGATCATGAGTAAAATGGCCAGAACAGAACAGGGCAGACACACATCTGAGTTAAGCAAAATGTAAATATATTTGGTGGAACGGGCACGTGATGGAAGAAACATCCCGGAAAAAAAAACTGCACTCCATGACGATATGAAGCCACAAAATAACATTTTAAAGTAGGTTTGAGGTAATGTGTT